TTTTTTTTTGCCATTTGCGGTATATTTTTGGCTTCTTTTATTTTTTTCCTCAGCTTCAAGTCTGGTATGCTGATATGCTTGTCCTCTTGCATTCCTCTCGCTGATCCGCGGGTCGTTCTTGGTACTTGTTTTTCTTAATTTTCTCCTTTCAACTGTTAAAATAGTTTTGACTATCAATTTCACCTCACAGTTTCTGTTCCAATATACACTTTCAAAAGATACTTCATTATAAAAATTGACTGTAGTGTTTTCTGAGAATGTAGCAACTAGACGTCCATTGTTCGTTTTTCTACTACCTAATCACATGTATTCAGAGCATATGGACTCCTAGGATACATTCGCATCTTTGTTCATGAGCACACGATAGTGAACAACCATGAAGAGAACGCCCTACCGGATCTAAGGTATTCATGATTCTGACTTTACTGAAGCTTTTCGGCTCTGTATTCAGGATTGATAAGCCATTCCCAAAACTATTGGAAATGGCTGCAAATACGGACTTGAATTCTATGACTTTGGAAGAGTTACGGCATACACCTTACATCCTCTTATATCTGATTGCTCTCCAACATTACCGGATTGTGAGTTCAAAGCTTAAGCATTATTTCAAAGAAGGATTACATTCTAGGAAGTAGGAGATGAGCATGCGTTTCCTGATACTTACGCTAAGCGGAAGAGTTTCTTGGAAGTTTTATTGAGGTTGCGCCGCGAGGGTGAATGCGGATCGCCGGATGCTGAAAACTTTCTAGAAGCTAAGACGGCGCTGCCCAGATCCTTGCAAAGGAGCGAAGTAAGTCGAAATTCAGTTTGCTTGATCACTCATCAGCTCGACAGGTGCCACGTCGAGTTGCGGAGATTCTCATGGATCCTAAATGTGGGGACACGTCAAGGTGTGCGCAACCTTTCTGGATAATATGCGCTGCGTTACGTCGTTTTGTCAATGCTCATGGTGTGCTACCGCTTTCGGGAGTCCTACCGGACATGACTAGCGACAGTAAAAGGTGAGCGCTATAACATAGCAGTTTTATCATGTAATCTTTCATAACACTTGCAAATTTTGTATCGTGAGTTGATTGATCACTACTCATTATATGCGTAACAGTGGTGGTCTCAGGATTTCGGACCGCAAGCGAGTGTGTGCGTTAGCCCACTCCGAAGAATTTTTGGGATTCTTTCCGAAATTTTTACGTGCCATGACCCTAAAATATTGAAAAAGGGGACGTGACGGCAGCCACACCACCGAAATTTTTTGACAAGGTTAAGTTGAATTTCAAAATAAATACATGAAAACAAATCACTTATACATTTTTTGTAACCCATGTAAGTAGTTTCAAGAATTTCGTGACTCATTCTCGGAGGATGGGGCGGGCCTCGGACCGCCACTGATGCGTAATCAGTTCTTTACCACGCTTCTTTAATGAGCCATGCTTTTTGAAGTTTCATCTTGGAACATTTTGATGTTGCATCTTTTTATGTAGTTTTTTTCTGACCTTTTTACTTGTAGGTATTCCCATCTTGCTTCACTTTTTCATGAGAAAGCGCTCGCTGATGCGGCTGAAGTTTATGAACATACTCGACAAATTGTACAAGAACGAGGTTCGTTATCAAAGGTTTTTACTTGATTCCCATGCTCAGTCGTACATTGTATCAATTTTGCGCTTTCAGGTATTGAGACTAATATCACAGAAGATCTTTGTTTTCGATTTTGTAAAAATGCTCGAGGTATTCGACTTCAACGTGGGACGGAAAGGGATTCTTTGGAAGCGTTCCAGGTAAGGAGAATTTTGCAAAACAACTTGCCTCCATATCTGTTTTTTAGACTCTGTTAGCTGAGATTGCGAATAGTGTAGAAGAAGAGCAGACGGTGCCAGCAGCAGTTTGGTTTCTCTTGTTACGAGCGGCTGATAAATTCTGTCGCGAAAAAGGAAGGTATGCCTGCTTGCTACTTCTGCACCTAGTTCATGGTATGTGTATTAACAGATATCCTGGTACGAATGGTGTTCCATGCACTATTGATGCTCTTGATCTCAAACAGCGTGTTGTTTCCATTGTTTCTTCTGCACATGTAAGTTTAGTGAAACAGATTTTTGATAGAACCTGCCTTCTTATTCTTTTCTTTGCGGGTAACTAATCCGGGAACTGTAATGGCACGCGTGCCACAGAATGCCATCGCTGAAATGTGCAGATACGGAGCAGGAGAGCTGCACGTGGTCGCCAGCTTAATCGGGGGTGAGTATGAATTTGCTAAAATGACTTTTGGGTTGGTTCAGTGTGCATATGCAGCTAAACAAAGTTAGTACAACAATTTCTAGGAAAGGACAGATTAATTTTTTAAGTATTTTCACAAGTAAATTTGGAGTATTGGGGATCTTTTGGGGGTAGGAGGTAGTCCATTAGTGGATCACAAACACTTTTTCTACCCAGTGCTTTTGTATCACTCAGGTGTGCTAGACCGCGTATGATCACTGCTGGCATGCATGCGGATTTTAAAATCCCCGCTAAGGCCCGTATGCACTTACATCCCCTCTGGGGAGGGGAGGGCATCTGAGAGGGGATGTGTCATCTCTCGCTATTCTAGGTATCTTTCTTTTTCTTTCTATATATTGCTTATGAATGTTCTCATGCCCTTATACCTGCGCATGATGGATGCCAGGT